AGCAGAAGAAGACTCAGAGAGTTGAATCTTAGGAAAGTGTTTGGGATCCTCAGGGAATGGAAACACACTGATGTCAAAACCCTACATGATTGTATGTTCATAGTCCAAAAGGCTGTGGACTACAGTTAAGGAGAGGACTCGCCAAACAGCAACAATTTTGCAGAACTTCTACATACAGAAGAATGCAAAGTATGGAAGAAAGAGCCAGGGGAGGAAGTAGAGCCAAGTAGCAGTCAGGGAGGGAATCCAAAGGACACAGGCACCAGGACTGGGGTTCACAGTGTGAGTTCTTTTACTACGGACACCTCATACCCATCCTTAGCCCATAAACGCCTCTCCAAATAACCAACCTTGACCCAGGTAATAGCCACAATGTCTTCATATCTCCCCAAACTCATGAAAGCCTGACGTTCCAAAAAAAAAAAAAAAAAAAGGAAAGAAAGAAGAGAGAGAGAAAGCGAAATACTTCTTAGGAAATATTTCCTAGGTGGTTAATGGGGCAGGTATGCAGCATCAAAGGAACACATCACTGCAATGTCCAACCCAGCCAGATTAATTTTTTATTTGCTGACTAAAGAAACATTGCGGGAAAACTCACCAAAATCAGGCTATAGATCTTTCCATTGCCTACATTATTAGCAAGAGAAAGAGAGAGGGCTTCTACTTTTCTCACTTCAGAAAACTCAACAGCTGAAAAAATCAGAGGTTTCTTTCATATTCCTTATATACAATCTCTAGAACCTGTGGGCCATGCTCAGCGGGGATTTCTATCTCCTCATGAAGCACCGGGGAATGGGATCGGGTTTCGTATCAAACTACAAAAAGGTTATTTTGAATGTCGAGTACAAAGATTTTGCTTCGTCTTAAAAAGCTACCACCACAATTAGAAATCTGCTATAACATAAGGAAGACCCACTCTATACAGAAACCCAAAACCATTGTGGGAGCTTGTGCAATCTGTTCTACTGCAGGGATAAATACATTGGAATCTCTCTCTTTTTTTTTCCCCCCTCAAAATGTGAATGCTAAGCTGAATTTAAATGCTATGACTACACTGTTATTCCAAATGTGAATAGTCTGGAAGAATATGAAGAGCATGGTGCCCTTTTTTGTATTGTCATTTCATACCATAATGCAAATCAGAGGCTGTCCTCCATTGCAGATGGAGAAGTCCCTAAAGAAGATACTTATATTTATCATATAATGAACATGTAGTCTTCATAAAATCGTTCTCAAAAACAGGTACCAGAAGCCAGAGGTGCTAGAAAAGGCTCTTCTGAAACCTTCCCTTTCTCTTTAGTGAAGAGGATAGTAAGAACTTGTAACAGCTACTCTTAAAAGCTTCCTAAATCCAGGTTTGAATACTACTACTTATTAAACTCACAATCTTTGCCTAAAATATCTACACCTTGGTGTAGGAATGGCAAAATTTGGAAGCCAACTTAATTTAAGTTAAATTTATACGTTGCTTAATTTCAGATTCCTACTTATGCCTCCTTATATCTCTTGCTCTCCCATTACTTTTTCCTTTCATTTTTCAGCAGGTGACTATAACACTTTCTTCAGCTCTTAGAAAATCTATTTAACTATTATATCTATTTATATAAAGTAGGGTAAGTTTATCTTACCCTCTAAGTCCCTCCCTGCACAGTTCACCACTTGAGTTGCTCTGCTCTGAACAGTTTTAGATTTTCCTAGCAAGGTGTCCAGCAGGATACAAAGGATCTCCCAGGCGCTCAGAACAAGGAAGTAGGTCTTTAGGAGGACAGACGTCTAGGAGGATAACCTGCCCATTTGCAGCAGCGAAAACCCTTTTCATGAATTCTGAAGTTTAGCCTCCTCTTTCCTCCCCTGGAAGCAAGGGTAGGGGCAGGTTTCCTGAGGAACTCAGGTTTTGTTCACAAGCCTCTTTCAAGGTTCTAGATGAAATCGGCCTAAGAGGGTAACTGGGCCTTAATTAAGCATCATCCAGCTCTCACTTGCTGGAATGGAGACATTCTTAAGATCTGGCAATTATTTATGTTGTCTTTTTCTCCATCCTCTTTGTACAGAGTGACAGCACCATCCTTTCTTCTCTAGTGCAAAACTGTGAGCAACATAGAACAAGACAGGAGCGGCTCAGAAAGGCTCTGGGAAATGCAGCCGGAGATCCTCTCCAAGCAGCACATCCAAGGGTGAAACTTAGTCTCAGTTACAATGAAGAATCAGCATGGAAGAAGGAGAATGATCTTCTCTGCTATTTTGTGAAGAATTAGAGTTTTAGTCTTTGAGCACACAGGCTGCTTAGGCAGGAAGAGCACTTGCAGATGAAGTGCAAAGAAGTTCCTTCTGTAAAGAAAGAAGCTCCTTGCTTCCTGCGTCTGAAGAAAGGTCACCCTCAAGCCGGGCATCAAAGGCAGCCTCTTTTAGACCATAACACAACTCAGGCTGTAGACACCCCAGGCGTCTGGCCAGTTGATCATATCAATTTCTCAGACTATGACTGGGTACCTAGTACACAGGAAGGGGATCACCGCAGACCTTAGGAGGTGCCCACAGTTTGCTGCGATGACTGTTTTCCTGTTCCCTCCAGCAGGGTCAGTGAAGACCATGCAGAAAATTACATTTGCCCATGCACCATATTGTCTGCCAAGAGCTGTTTGGAATAAACAAGGGCAGTTTTGGTGCATGACCACATTGCTCCTTCCTGTCTCCAGGCCACAGCTGAATAAATAATGTTCAATGTTGCACGATGAAGAGAGAAAGAAGAGAAGGAAGGTACCAGTCAGAATGAGTGAAAACTGGAATCCACAACTGCTACTTTGGTTGCTACCGCAAATTACTGTATCTCTAGTTCCAGTAACAAATGAAGCAAATCACAGAGAGTTTAAAGCTGACCCCAGAGCACAGGGCAGTGTGGTATACACGCCCTACCATATTCTCACAGCGGAACAAACTTGGCCACACCGTGTGCTCAGGGCTGGGGAGAGACAGATTGCAATCTGCATGTTAACCATGTTCACACAGAGCTGAGCATAACACTTTGTCCTTCTATTGCAAAACTGCTAACTCCAAAGTGATTTTAAAATAGCAGCCCACTACAAAGAAGCTGGGAGGCTTACCAGAGCAAGTAAAGAAAACCTAGGTGGTAATGCCACAGTTGCAGAGGAAGCACGTCAACTGCTCACTCACAGTTTT